AGGAAACAAGGCATGTTTCTGAATTTGGAAGAAGAGTATTGCAGAACGTGAAGCTTGAAAATGACACTCATATGATAGTGGTAACAAAAGGCAGTGTTAGGATGCACATTAACGGTATAACTCAGGTACCGTATGAGGTTTATTATTCCTGAACATAAGAATAACTTACTGAGTATAGGATAACTACAAGAGAAAGGCTTATCCATTATGATATCATATGGCTATTGTAAGGGGTAGGATAACTACAAGATAAAGGCTTATCCATTATGATATCATATGGCTATTGTAAGGGGTTTCATTCTAGGAAAAGGTTAATTATGAAAATTGATGAGTGGGAATAGAATATTTTGTGACATCTATGAATCCAAAACGGTCTATGTGTTTACAAACAAAAATTGTTTCAGCAAGTGAAGCTTACCTATGGCACTATCAACTTGGACACTTAAACTATAAGGCCCTTAACACACTAATTTACAAAGAGATGGTGGTTGGTTTACTAACTTTGACTCATATGCGAAAAACATGTCACACATGTTTAACTAGGAAGAAATCTAGAAGACCTTTTCCAAGCCAAAGCTCATGGGAAGCATCCAAACAACTTCATCTAGTGCATTTAGACATATATGGTCCTAGGTATTTTCTAAGTTAATTCATAAAAAAACTTGGGTGTATTTTTTGTGTGAAAAAACAGAGGCGCTTACAATATTTAAGAAATTCAAAGCCCGTGTTGAGAAGGAAATAGGAGCACACATATCGTATTTAAGGACAGATAGAGGCAAAGAGTTTCTCTTAAATGAATTTGAAGAATTTTGTCACACACATGGCATATGTAGATAGTTGACCACCTTCTACACTACTCAACAAACGATGTGGCTGAAAGGAAGAATAGGACGATTATGAATGTGATTCGTTCTATGTTAAGTGAGAAACATATCCCCAAGATTTTTTTGGCTAGAAGTTGAGATATGGTTTATGCATATTCAGAATAGGTACCCAATAGTAACAGCAGAGAGTAAGAGTTCGGAAGAAGCCTGGAGTGGTCAGAAACTAGTGGTGGAGTCTTTCAGAGTCTTTGGATGTGTACCACATGCACATATACCAAATCAAAAGAGAGTTAAATTGGATGACAAGAGTTGAAAATTTTTTTTTTTTGTTAGTGATGAATTTAAGGCATGAAGATTATATGATCCAATCTCAAAAACAATTATTATTATTAGTAGAGATGTAGTGTTTGAAAAAGAAGCAAGTTGAGACTCGAGCAAATTGGAGATGGAAACTCAACAAAATGAATTGAATTACGAAGATAAAGGTGATACTGCAGGAGAAGTTGATTAAGAAATAGAAGAAGCTAATGAAAATGTCAAAGGCAATGAAGCCCATCTAGACAATACCTCACCTAATTCATCTCAAAGGAGGGATGTACGAGCAAGAAGAGTACCAAGATGGATGATAGATTATGCAACGAGGGAAGGTTTGTCGGAAGAAGAAAATTTGAATGTAATGATGGTCACTGAAAGTGATCTAGTCTCATATAAAGGAGTTGTAGTGAGTAAATGTTTGAAAGAAGCCATGTCAAAAGAGATTGAAGTTATAGAAAGGAATCACACCTAAAAACTCACTCTGCTATTGGATGGAGTAACACAAATTGGAGTCAAATGGGTGTTTAAAACCAAACTGAATGAGATGGGCAAAAGGATATGCATAAAGGCATGAAATCAATTACACTAAAGTTTTTACTCCAATGGCAAGACTTTGATACCATATAGTTGATATTGGCTATAACTGCTCAATTCAACTGAGAGGTATTTTAACTTGATTTAAAAAGTGTCTTTCTCCATATATAACTCAAAGAAGACATATTTGTCCTACAACCTGAAGGAATTGTGAAGAAAGGGGAAGAAGAGAGAGTTTATGGGTTGAAAAAACCATTATATGGCCTTAATCAAGCACCACAGACCTAGTACCACAAAATTGAAGCTTATTTTACACAATAAAATATTGAAAAATGTCTTAGTAAACACACATTATTCATCAAATCACAAGGAGGTAAAATATTGATAGTTAACATTTATGTTAATGGTTTAATATTCACTAAAAATGATAAAACCATGTTTAATAAATTCAATCAATCCATGATGTTACATTTTGATATATCTAGTTTGGGAAATAATAGTAATTTTCTTGGAATTAAAATTAAGCGAGAATTCAAATGAAATATTTATTTATCAAAGAAAATATGTACAACAAGTGTTATCATGTTTTGGAAGGCAAACCCAATAACAATGTTGTGAAAAAAATGAATAAAACTACTATATTAAAATTTAATAAAAATATATTAAAGCAAATATTTTAAAAATAACATTGAAACTAAAAGAATATTAACTAAATATTAAAAATTATGATAATAATAAATAATTTTATTTATTTTGGTAATAAATAATTTTATTTACGATGAGGTTAATAATTAATTTTAAAATATTTTATTATAATAAATAGTTACTCATTTAATTAAAATAATATCAAATATTTATAATTTAAATATATTTTTATTTAATACTTTAATCTAGTTATAATTAAATTAAATTATGATAATTAATTAGATTAGGTAATTTAATTTTTTTATCACAACATACTTTAAAATAAATATTTAATTTTTTCTTAATAATTATAATATAACAATAATATTTGTAACATCTTAAATTTATATAATATATTAAATTATAGGATTTATAGATCATTTAAATATTTTTATTTTTTTCAATAATAATAAAATATTCATGTTATCAAATTTAAATATATTATTTTAATTAAAGAATAAGATGGAATATGGATATTTACATGGTTGATCCATCCCCACCTCGAATTTACGATAAAAAATCAAGTTGACCAGAGACCGAGGACAGGGGTATGGATGAGTAATATAATCTCCAACTCGATCTTGTTCCCGTTCTCGTTTCACTTTTACATTTAAATTTAAATTTTAATATTTTAATATTTTTAAAATACTTTATTTTCCTTTTCACATTGGTATATAATGTCATTTTTCTCTATTTTACTCTTTTTTAATTTTCTTTTCTCACTTTTCACTCTTTTATCTTTTTCAATTTCTTAGATCAATAAGCTCATTCATATTTTCGACTTCTTCACATTTTCTTAATTTCTTTAGTCAATTTGATTTTTTCAATCTTCTAAATATTCTATATCAATCTTAGTAGTAACTAATATTATATTATTTTTAATTTATTTTTGTTAAGTTTTATTATACTATATTTTTTATTTTTATTATTCCTATTTATTATATATCAAATCTTCATAATAAAATAATTATATTTTGAAGGATTAAAAAATTTGATAATTTTTTTTACTTTAAACTAATTAAATAATAATTATCTTATTAAATATTTTCTTATAGAATATATATTTCATATTTATAAATATTTTAAAATGATAATTTAAAAATATTAACTTATATATGTAATTAAAAATTTAAATATAGTATTATAGTATATAATAATAATGGTGGTGGTGGTATAAGTATTTTATATCTATATAAAGAAAAAAAATTATAAATATAAATATAAAAATGATATACTTAATTATTATTAATAATTAAAAATTATAAAATTATAAATATTTATTTTGTATAAAAATATATTAAAATTAATATATTGTATGTATAATTTTTTTTTTTTGAAATAATGTGGAATGGGAAAATCTAAAATCCAACAAGAATGAGTATAGGTACTTAATTTTTAATAGGACGAGGAACAAGGTAGAGATAGTTAGAGAAGTCTAAGTACAGAGGATCGGGAAGGAAACCCACCCTACCCCTTTTTGGCCATGTGTAAGATAAAGTAAAAGAAAAAATAAATAAAAAGAATAAAAATAAGAAAATAAACTAAAATAAAATAAAATAAATGTATTATATCAACCAAATTTATTTCTTTTTATTAAATTTTGTATAAGAATAATAAACAAGTTTTATTAAGAAAATAAGCTTCAAATAATTTTACTTAAATAAATTTTTATTTTAAATATATTATTTATAAGATTAATTATAACTTATTCAAGTCATAATTTTCTAAAAATTTATCCGTATTAATAAAAATCCAACAATATCATTAAAGTAAGTTGAGTTACAATTGTGATTATTTTAATGAAAATTTGTCTTTAATGCATATCCAGCAATTAATTGGATGGGTGAAATCATTAAAGTAAGTTGTCTGGCAGTTGAACAAAATCAATGCATTGAATGCTGTTCATAAATCGAGACGTGTCATTCTATTTTATTTATAAAGGGATCATTCTCAATCAAAATATTAAAACTCAACGTTTTTTCTTCACAACTTCATCTTCAGGTTCTCTCTTTTCTTGTATTTAAACACTAAACATTTTTTCTATTATATCTACTATTTTTGTACTCTTTTACTCCTTAATCTTTCTCACAATCTGGAATATGTACAAACAAAAAATTTACAAATTATATGAGAGTTTTTATAAATTAATTTATATATAAAATAAGTTTTGGTAATAAAAAATGTTATTTTATTTTTTCTTTTATATATTATTATAGAAATTTTTTTCTAAACATTACCTCTAAGTTATAATTTTATATGAAGGAGTTTATACATAAAAATTTCTAAAAGAGAATAAAAGAATATATCTATAAATTTAAAATAAAAAATTTAGATAAATTACGTGAAATATTTATACGTATACATAAACTAATAACAAATATATTTACATTTTTTCACTCCTTTAAATCTGTATGAAGAAACATGTCTAAGCAAATTCAAAATGTATACTTTTGTTCATTTCAATGTAAAATGATTTCTACTGGGGGATTGAAGGTGTTGGGTTGGTTAGTAAGGAAAAATAAATAAAAAAGTGCAGTCATAGGACTAACGTAGTACACAGTGGAAGAAATGAAGAAGAAGGTTTAGAGAGGAAGAAGAAGCAAAGTTGAAAGCATGATAAGCAAAAGAGTAAAAAGATGAGAAATGAGGCTTAAGCTATGTATATTTATGATGCAGGAAAAGAAAATGTGGAGGTTGAAGATAGGTGATGGAGGGAAGAATCCACACATATTCAGCACAAATAATTTCGTTGGGAGGCAAACATGGGAGTTTGATCCTGAAGCAGGCAGTGGTGAAGAACGTGCTCAGGTCGAAGCAGCTCGTCAAAACTTCTATCAGAATCGCTTTCAGGTCAAGGCATGTCCTGATCGACTCTGGCGCTTTCAGGTACTTGTTTCTTACCCTTAACAAAACCTAAATATTTGCATGCATTATCATAAATATTCATTTTTAATATCATATACTTTACAATGACTTAAAATTAATTATTTTTTAATAACTAGTTACTGGTATAACTTATAGAATTCAAGTGTTTATATAAGTGAAATTTATGCTTTAAGTTAAATGTGTTTTTTTTGTTACATTATGTTTTCGTTGGATAGAAAAAAAAAACATGGTGTCATTTTTTAAATTAAAATTAATTTTTTATTTTGAAATAGGTAAAATCTGACGTAAAAAATAATATTTATATCATATATAATATACATTTGACCTAAATTTCACTTTTTATATCATATTTGATATGATGCGCAAGAAAATCTTATATTACTTACGAGATATTTATTGATAAATATGTAATCGTCGAAAAATAAATGATTATCGATAGAAATTACCGACGAATTTAGAGTAGTTGTGGAATTTGGTCTTATCCGTCGGTAAATGAACAATTAATTACCGACATATATATCCTCGATAAATTCGATCGGTAAATGAATAATTAATTACCAACGAGATATACCCGTCGATAAATGAATAATTAATTATTGACAAATATGTTTGTCGGTAAATTAACAACTTTGGTAAATAAATAATTAGTTACCGACGGATATATCTGTCGGTAAATTAACAATTAGTTACTAATGAATATTACCGACGGATTTAAAGTATATTTTTAAAAATCAATATTAAATTAAAAAAATTAAATATTTAAAATTATATAATAATTACTTAATTTTAAATATATTCTAATAAATTAATTATTCACCTAATAAAAAATTAAATACTTTTTTATTTTTATAATTTAATTTAATCATAATTATATTAATTTATAATAATTTGTTAGATTAAAAAAAATTTAAAAATAAATTTAAAAATAAATATTTAAGTATTTGTAATATTGAAAAAATTATTTTAATATAATAATTTTAATTAAATAATAGAAGAAAAAATATATAAATATATAAATATTTGAAAACTCACTCAACACACACTTTCACCCTCGAGTGCGCCCTCACATACAACATATAAATATATCAAAATATATAAATATATTTATATTTATATATTTTATATTTATATATTTATATGGGTATACATTTATTTGTATATAAATATAATTTATTTGTAAATTTTTATCGGAAAATCCTAGTAGTTTAGTGGTTGGAGAATCAATATCCAACTTTAAGATATTAGGTTTAAATCCTACCAGATGATAATTTTCTTAATTAGAATAATAATTCTAAATTCTATAAAAATAAATATTTATCGACAGATTTATTTGTAGTTTTAAAAGTTTTTCTGTAAATAGATTAGAATATTTAACATCTATTGTTTGATTAAGAATAATGTTCTATGCTTCAATCAAAATTAAAACTATGATTTTTTTTATTTATGTCTTCCATCATTAGTGTTTTTTATTTATGTCTTCCATCATTATTGTTTGTTGTCACTAATATTATCGTACAATGTTCTATGTTTCTATCAAAATTAAAATTATGAATTTTTTTATTTATGTCTTCCATCGTTATTGTTGTCATTATTATTATCGTCCTTGATTGTAATTATAATTATTAGTGTTTTTGTCTCTTTTTTTATTGTTTTTTTTTATTGTTATTGCCCCTGTCACACCCCTCCTCAAAAGTTTTGTAATTTGTATTATTATTTATGATTATGACTCCAAACTTAATGATTATTCTTAAAGTTTAATAATTTATATTAATATTTATGATTTTAGCTTCCCAAATTTAATAATTATTATATATATCTGTCTATATATTTACAAATTTGATTTTTCACCTTTTCATATTTTTTTATATTATTTATTTATTTATTATTTATTAATAATATATTATTTAGACCTCCAAAAACAATGACTAAGTTCAATGATCCGTCTCCATTTATGTTTTGGTATTGTTCTTTTTCTTCTTTGTTGTCAAAATGATGTATTGACCTTTCTCAACGTTACTATTGTGATAGTGCTTCATTCATTCTTCCTGTTTTTTTTATTAAAATTGAAATTTTAGAATTTTTTTAAACATCAAACTTAATTATACATTGAGTCTTATATCAATCTAATGGAAATTTATACGACTAGTTATTTCAACGTAAATTTACATTATGATGGGAGCTTATGTAAAAAATCTAAAATAATCAACATAAAACAACCTTTCATATGATAATAGAATGATTTGTTAATATAAATTTCTTTGAATTAAAGAATGTAACAAAAATATCACTCTAAACAATGGTGTGATGAGATCTCGTATAAACTAAAAATACACTAATAATATAATATAGAAAAGATTATAATCGTTACCTCATTGAACGAGTTATGTTACTTAACTAGTTTTATAGGATTAAAAATATTTTTTTATTTTTAATAGATATAAAATCATTTTTTCTTTCTTATTGTCATTGTAAAACTATTAAAATAAATATAAATATTGTGTGGTACTTCTAAAAGGAAAGATATCAAGGAATTACAAAAATATTACTACTCTTTTCATTTTTGTACAGATTTTGAAGGAAAAAAATTTCAAACAAATAATAAGTAAAGTGAATATAGAAGAAGATGAGAAAATTACGTGGGAGAAGGTGACAATGACCCTAAAGAGGTCCTCTCTTTACCTATCGGCACTACAAACTAGTGACGGCCATTGGCCTGCTCATATTTCTGGTTCCCACTTTTTCACTCCTACAATGGTAAGATTCAAAATGTTGATAAAAATATTTATCTAATATGTTTTTTTAGTTGATTTTACATCTTACAAACAACGATGCAGATAATTTCTATCTACATAAGTGGACAACTTGATTCTATACTTGCAGAAGAATATCGTAAAGAAATTCTTCGGTACTTATATTGTCACCAGGTACACTCGTTAAATTGAACATGATGTTGAAAGAAGAAAAGTTATCTTTTACTCTTTCCGTTTCATCTGTTAACATTATTCTGATCTCATCATTTGAAGAACAAAGATGGGGGGTGGGGATTACATATAGAGGGACCTAGCACCATGTTTGGTACGACACTGAATTATGTATGCATGCGAATTCTTGGAGAAGGACCTAATGGAGGTCAAAACAATGCTTGTGCTAGAGCAAGAAAGTGGATTCATGATCATGGTAGCGTAACACATGTACCTTCATGGGGAAAATTTTGGCTTTCGGTATGCATGCTTTTATATCATTTAGATTAATCAATACACTATTTTTAATATGTAATTATTTTACTAATTTGAATAATCTTATTCTTGCAGGTACTTGGCATCGTTGATTGGAGTGGATGCAACCCAATGCCCCCTGAGTTTTGGATCCTTCCTACTTTTCTCCCCATGCATCCGGGTTAAATTAATTCTTCTTCTTCTTTTTTTACTATTTTACTAAATCAATATATATACACAATAATTAATTACTAAACTGAGTATGTCTTATTTTCACCTCAAATAATGCAGCTAAAATGTGGTATTATTGCCGAGCTGTATACATGTCCATGTCTTATTTATATGGAAAGAAATTTGTGTGTCCAAAAACAACATTAATCACAAGTCTGAGAGAAGAACTGTTTCCTGAACCTTACGATGAAAGCACTTGGAAGAAAGCACGTCACACATGCGCAAAGGTGATAAATACTCTAATAATTGAGGAAGTGTTTAATATTATTAAGAACATGCATTAACTTATAGAATATGTGTGCTGAGAAAATCGCAGGAAGATCTTTATTATCCCCATAATTGGATACAAGATTTCATATGGGATAGCACTCATCTATTCACTGAGCCACTTCTTACACGTTGGCCTTTGAATAAGTTGGTTAGAGAAAAGGCACTTCAAGCAGCAATGGAGCATCTTCATTATGAAGATGAAAATACTCGATATATAACTGGAGGGTGTTTGAACAAGGTAACCATCATAATATATTATTTGTGGTATGCATTCAAATATGGCTCTATCATCATATTTGTGTTTGTTTTGTAGGCTTTATCTATGCTTGCTTGTTGGGCAGAAGATCCAAATGGAGATGCTTTCAAGAAGCACGTTGCAAGGATCCCAGATTATTTATGGCTTTCAGAAGATGGAATGTGTATACAGGTAAATATCATGTATTGCCATTTTTTTCCTGCTAAATTCTAATATCTAATAGTATATAACCATAAAAGATGATTACTTGTACGATAAATTAACTGATGTAATTGTCTGCATAATGCAGGGACTTAGTACACAGTCATGGGATGCTGGTTTAATTGTTCAAGCTTTGGTTGCTACTAACCTAATTGATGATCTTGGTCCCACACTTGCAAAAGCACATGATTTTATCAAGAAATCTCAGGTGAGTATAACCATTACTATTGTAACAATTAAATTAAAAAAAAAAAACATTTTTAATTAAAGTTCATTACATAGATTCATAACTATATATGAATTAGTTTTATTAGGCAAAAGTGAATTGATAATCTAATATTGTAGGTCGTAGAAAATCGTTCAGGAGATTTTAAGAGCAGGTTTCATCACATTTCAAAAGGTTCATGGACCTTAGCTGACAGAGACCATGCATTACAAATTTCTGACGGCACTGCAGAATGTCTGAAGGTAATTATTAACTACTCGGGTTACATAACATTTTACTTTGTTAAAAAACTTTCATGAATAACAACATATATATGTTATATACTTCCAACTAATTAATCATCCATGCTTCAGTGTTGTTTACTTTTATCAACGTTACCCCCAGAGATTGTGGGAGAAAAAATGGAACCTGAAAGGTTATATGACTCAGTCAATTTTATACTGTCACTTCAGGTCAGTCCTTTAAATTTATATGAAATTTGGTAATCAATGGTCTGTCGTCTTAATTTTTGTTTATATCACACATACTTCATACTATGAAAAATGGAAACAAATTGAAGTTTCTGCTCATTTAAATTGCTTCAAGTTTGATTGCTGCAGGGTAAAAAAGGAGGTGTTAGTGTGTGGGAGCCAGCAAAAGCTCAGAAATGGTTGGAAGTAAGTTTCAAGTGATGATTTCAACAAAATGTATAAATTTTTAGCTAACGTTGATTTGATTATCTTTCTTTATTGATTTGTAGCTACTGAATCCCGCGGAATTTCTTGCTGATATAGTAATCGAGCACGAGTATATTGAGTGTACTGGATCATCAATTCAGGCGTTAACATTGTTCAGAAAACTATATCCAGAGCATAGAAAGGAAGAGATAGAGAATTTCATTGTGAAAGCAGCAAAATTCATTGAAGATGAACAATTACCAAATGGTTCTTGGCATGGGAACTGGTCAATTTGCTTCACGAGTTCTTCCTGGTTCGCACTTGGAGGTCTAGCTGCTGCTGGCAAGACTTACACCAATTGTGCTGCCATTCGTAAAGCTGTAAAATTTCTACTCGATATACAAAATGATGATGGTGGGTGGGGAGAGAGTTTTCTATCATGCCCAGAGATGGTTTGTTCCTAAAGAAGTGTTTGTGTTCATATTTTTCTTCAATTCAAAGTTGATTATAAATATTTTCATTGATGACGTCTTAATGAATGCATATGTATAATAATGAAGGTGTACGTGCCTCTTGAAGGAAATCGATCAAATATTACACAAACAGCTTGGACTCTGATGGCTTTGATTCATGGTGGCCAGGTATTTCATTGTATCTTGGATTTCAACATTTTATTGTATCCAAAACAAGTGTTATTCTTCTTCTTCTTTTTCATTTTCTAAATTTTGCATGTAGGCTAAGAAAGATCCAACACCCCTTCACCGTGCTGCAAAGTTAATCATCAATTCTCAGTTAGATGATGGGGATTGGCCTCAAGAAGTACCTCTCAAATCTCTATCCTTTAAATTTTAACATTATGACTCTTAGTAATGTAATTCATGTGGTGGTTATCTCATAGCAGCAGAATTATTTAGTTATTAGAATTTTGTCTGTGACTTGTTTATGACAGGAAGCATTGGGGATGTACAAGAGAACCTGCATCCTTCATTACCCATTCTATAGAATTGTTTTTCCAACCTGGGCTTTGACTGAATATCGTACTCATCTTTTAGTACCTTCCACTTCTGCTTAACTTGGCAAGTTGTAAGCACAAGAAGAAAAATCCGGTAAATAAAATCGAAGTTTGTAATCAACTGAAATATTGTTTCTTCTATTTCTTGTAGTTTTGTAATTCTGGAACGAATATTTTGTATTAAAAATTACGACAATAAAAAGACTATTATATGTTCTTAATCAAATTTGTTTTGTGCTTTTTAAATTAAGAATATATATATATACATATATATATATATATATATATATATATATATATATATATAAATTATCTTTAAATTCAACTAGATTCAACCTACTCAAACATAATCATATAATCTCTCATGATTAATGGATAAAAATGAATCAAAACTTCAATTTACTTCAATTTGGACAAAGATGATACCAATAATATTAATACTAATATTAGATGCAATTTTTTAACTTCTAGATTGTATCATTTTTTTTTAACTTAAAAGATATTTTATTTATATTTGGTGTTATATTTTTATTTTATTGTTTATACTTTGTAGTAATGAAAAAAGTCAAATAAAAAGTATAAAATTATTTTGAAAAATTAGTTTAACCTCCACTTCGTAATTATATTCTCTGAAGAATTTTTTTAATTTATAGAAAAAATTATTTGATATTTCTTTCTGATGTTCTCCTTCTAGAAATACTTACGAAAAAATTTAGTCCATTGACATTACGAGTCATGCATGAAAAATGTCATCAAACGTGGCCATCCACTCAATTTCTGATACAACATAACAAAACCATTCACATTTTCCTCAGTTCATCTTTCCATCTTTTCCAATGTGTCATAATGTCCCCTTTGTATCTTTCTGGAAAAACTGCATAATCTGATGAAATTCCCTAGCCCTTGAACATACACATGTGAATCTAATTTTCACTTGCAAACGAAAATATGAAAAATTGTTAGACAAGGTAGTACTCGGACAGAATAGCAGCTCCTATGACAACTGTCAAGCACAGCAAGCATATAGCATCTACCATCCCAAAAGATGATTCTGACAAAAAGTAAATTTTATGACTGCTACTGTCCCCTTTAAAACCTCTGACTATCATAGCCTGCAGTATTTTATGTTAAACTATCAGAATACAACCTTCGAGTTTTTTATGATGAATACAATGATAACAACGGATTAAGTTAGTTTACAAGAAGAGGACCAGGAAAATTGAGTATAGTAACACGTAAGACTAATTTAATAGAAGTACATATTTTCTGAGCTCAGCATGGTTAATGAAATCAGCATATAGTTCAAACTATGAAATAAACACTAACATATTTCTAACTGTTTTACTTCTCATAAATGGGAACTGAAAGAAACACTAGTGTAAGCATAAATCTGGAAAACTTCAAAATGGTTTATCAATTTGAAATTATGATAAAGTTGAAGAATTTCAAAGAAACCTTGACAAAGCAGAAGACTAATTAAGTTTAAGATAAACCTGAGAAATTTGCTCTGCATGGCTGAAAATATTTGTGAAGATGCGCCGGAAGTAGTTAAAAAAAACTGCAATGCGATATAAGGGAAAAAAGAATTATGACAACGAAGAAATATGTTCAAGTAAAAGCTTGAAGTCTAATGTAAATCCATTAAACATTAACCTAATTAAGAATAGTTTGTCCACGCAGAACTAAGTTTCCAATACAAACTATCAACCACATAATATCCTAATTAAATCAAACTGCATGCAAAATTTCCTATTTCTTTAATTCTTTATCATTTAGATGGAGGCACATGTAGCTGCTAGCATTACAGATGAAGAAAGTTCAGTGAGATTTTATTATACTGGTATCAGTTATTGTGTTCAGGATCAGACTGGCATAGATTATTACACTAACATGCCGTATAAGGTATCTGTAGCAAGTCATGTATCAACCAAAATATTCAGAGTTTTTTCAATATTAGTATAACAAAATATTGGGACAAATGTAGTAGATAAACTAGATGAGTACAAGGTCCATGCCACATAACATGAAAATGTACGTGTTATTGGAAGAAAAGTAATTATAGCTCATGAATATAGCTAAAGATGGTAATTATTCAGACAGTTCTATATTTTTCGATTTTATTGTTGTGGTAGTGTTGGAAAACAGAAAGGAGTGGTGTTGGGAAGTTCTATGGACAAAGATAATTTATGTAATGTTGTACGATTTAATACTTTTTCTTCTAAAGAATCTAAATGAGTTTTAAGCAAAATTATTATCCAAATAATATTCATCACCTAGTTACCTGGAAAATCAATAAATGATTATAAAAAAGAACAACATTTTAGTTAATGACTGGGACCAAGAGAAAGAGCTAGCAATATTTACTATCTATGGTCTCCATAACAGTCAGCTGCTTCCAATTTATTCTACGGGATACAATCCCCAAAGCAATGTTTCGGACCTGCAACAAAACAAATATGAAATTATGGATTTTAATGAGTACAGCAAAGGAAAAAATGAATCTATTAAGCTTAACAGTTTAAGTCGAACTTAGTTATAACTGTCGGTTGAAGTCTTTGATGAAATGTCCAATTTTACTCTCATTTGTTTAAGAATTTTTATTGATTCACATATTTACTTCTATCATCTACTTATGTGTTGTACTTGGCTAATATCTTGGCCAACCTTCCCACCAGATTATGTTAAATTGCTAATATCCAGTCTTTCTGAAAACTATTCATTGCCTTTGCTAAATCTAATACAATCATCAGTAACAATAGAAAATTTTATCAAATAAGACATTGTCTCATTCCTATTTGGATGTACTTTACTTTGTAGAAATTAGGAAGATTTCATGTACCACACTGTTTACTTTCCCATAATATCAATAAATTTTATCTCTTTGTGTTCCTTAATGCACCTCCCAATACCCAAAGGCTCTAATTCTTCTCAATTGAAGGGATAACCTCTCTTTCACGTTTCCAATTATTTATAGGCAACATGTCTTATTTCTCTAATCATCTCAGGCCCAACTAACTAATATAACAGATTGACAACTAGCAGTTTTCTAATTCGTCATTCATAAAGAAATGGCACATCAAAAACCCTGATTTCTTGCAACCTGATGCAATATTTATTACACTGATTTAAACACATTTCATATGCTAGTAAACAATCATCGGCAATTGCTTAAACAACCAAAATAGACTTCATCAGTAATATCTATCAGAACCACATCTCTCGTGCCTATGCATGGTCATTTTAGTAATCATGGAAAACATACTTCTCTGAAACAATTAAAACAAGCTGTATATATATCAAATTCAAATATGTTTATCAAATTCATACATTTGTATGTAAAATTCCTTAATCTCCTACCTCATCAAAAACGAGACTGATGAACCTCAATGACAATAAAAGTGTAAGCACAATTTCTGACACAGAAACACCTATGTATTTCAGAGGGAGTATAAACGATCGCAATGCAAATGCTAGTTGTTCGGGGGTTGTAGTTGTGAGGCAGAGACTTGCACTTTGAAATACCTTCAAAAGAAATGCAAATAAGATTCCCAGAAGTCAGAATCATAAAGATTTCTGTTGTTTTAGGAAGCTTACAAGATATGATAACGGTTCTACTAAATGTCCAAAAACATCAGTAAATGAAAAAAAAATGGTAGAAACACAGAGAGAAACGTACAGTAAAAGTCAAACATGCAACAGTGCTTGCTACAGAGAGGCCTTTCCTGGTAAAGGTTAATGGACCTAACTTTATGATTGTATATGCGTAACCTGTTAAAGATACAGGAATATTAGGAAGCCCCATCATTGCAGGTGGTGGTGTTCTCAACTGAACAAGTGCGGGTACACCATCTGAACCCAGCCCTAATGTTATGAATAATAATCCCGATAGCAAATAAACTCTTCCCAGTTGATCCTACAAATGAAATTATCAGGAAATTTCTCAAATGAACACATCACTTCAAGATTAAAAAAAAAAACAGCTGAATAAATAGCCATCAGCCAAATAGATTTGACATAATATAAAGGAAATCCAACTTATTTATGATAAGGTACGAGGAGTTAGCACAAATCATAGATAAGCATTTAGAATGAGAAATGCCATGAGTTTAATTGGGAAAAGAGGGGAGAGGAAAAAACAATTACTATGATGATTAAAAACAATATTGAACATTAAATGGAACACAAAACAAAGCTTTAACCGAAAGATCAAACACCCTTGGACTCTTAAATCCCAGCAGCCCCTTAATTAATGATCTGACAACCAACTATAGTTAAGCAATGTGAACAATCCATCTATATATGAAGATGATCCCAGTTCCTAAATAAGTTAAGGATTAACAATTATTTACCGTCCAAGCATTTCTTGGTAGAATCCACATTGAAAGCAAAGTCAGGTATACCACTAATCCAAATCGCATAATTACGTGTGACCTTGCAGGTAGAACAACCAGAGCTAAAAGCCATACCTGTGAAATCAGAGTGATTGATCTCAGAAAAAAATAAATAAAAATAAACGAAGTAGCCAAACCAAACAATTCAAACATTCCAGCTACACAATTAATCTATTAACAATTGCTGACATTAAGCACCACTAGTGAAAGCAATAAAAACATTTATCAAAAGCAACTTCACAATCAGTCAAAAGCTGACAGAAGTCCAATTCCATTCCATAGCTGATTGTGAGAAATCAAATAGTATTTTAGGAAATATAATAACTCTATTTTATGCTAGGATCCCTTGATTTATGGGATTGTTCCTAATTATTCAAATCTGTACATATTACAAGGAAATATACAAATTTCTTGATTTATTCTTTCCTAAAATACTATTTGATTTCTCACACTCCCCCTCAAGCTGGTGAATAGATGTTTTCCATTCCCAGCTTGGATATAATCTTCTCAAAATTATGGCAGTCCAGTCCCTTGGTAAGAATGTCTGCAATTTGGTCTTGAGAGGACACATATGGAGTGCATATCAAGTCACTATCAAGCTTTTCTTTGATGAAGTGTCTGTCTACTTCAATATGCTTTGTTCTATCATGTTGCACTGGGTTGTGGGCTATACTGATTGCTGACTTATTATCACAATAGAGCTTGTTAAGGTTCCAACATAAAACCAATTGGCTATATGTGGAGTAGCCTAACATGTATTTAAACCATACCAAATGATATGAGGTAGGCGATGTGGGACTTTCAACACACACCCTCCAACGAAGCCTGCCGGACCAGGCAAAGGGTACTTTTGACCCAACTAAAGGGCAACTTTTGGCCCATGACAATAACCGGAAAGATGTTAGGCTTTGGCTCTGATACCATGTTAAGGTTCCAACATAAAACCAATTTGGCAATATTTGGAGTAACCTAACATGTATTTAAACCATACCAAATGATATGAGGTAGGCGATGTGGGACTTTCAACAGAGCTTCATAGGTTCTTCCCACTTTATCCTCAAGTCTTCTAAGATGATTTTAACCCATAGCAACTCACATATACCTTGTGCCATGGCTCGGAATTCTGCTTCAGCATTGGACCGAGCCACTACACCCTGCTTTTTGCTTCTCCAAGTCACAAGATTTCCTCCAAGAAAGGTGCACTATCCTGTAGTTGACCTCCTATCCACAATTGACCCTGCATAATCAGCATCAGTATAGGCTTCAAGCTTCACATTACCATTCCTTTTGAATAGAATCCTTCTTCCTGGAGTTCCTTTAAGGTACTGTAAAATTCTGTGGGCAGCTTGTAAATGGGTCTCCTTTGAGCTATGCATAAATTGACTAATTAAACTCACTGCATAGGCAATATCTGGCCTGGTATGCAACAAATATATAAGTCTGCCCACTAATCTTTGGTACATATCTTTTTCAACAGCAACATCTTCTTCTGCATTTCCAAGCTTTAGGTTTGGTTCTAATGGGGTACTAGCAGGTTTGCAAGCTGCCTTGCCAATTTCCTTGAGCAAATCAGTGATGTATTTCTGCTGAGATATAAATATCCCTTTCTCGAAGTGGACAACTTCAATTCCCAACAAATATTTTAGTTTTCCCAAGGTCTATCTCAAATTCCTTCCCTAAGCATTGGCTCAATAATTGCTGCTCTTCTTTATTATCTCCAGTTAATATTATGTCATCCACATACACCAATAATATTGTTACTCCCCCTGACTTGGAATGTTTAAAAAACAAAGTATGGTCCCCTTGGCTTTGTTTGTAACCCAGACTTGTCATAACTTTAGTAAACCTGCCAAACCATGCACGGGAGGACTGTTTTAACCCATATAATGCCTTTTTCAACTTGCAAACAGTGTTGACAGCAACATCTTTACCATATCCCGGAGGTATCTCCATATAGATTTCTTCTTCAAGGTCTCCATGTAGGAAAGCATTCTTAACATCAAATTGTTCCAAGTTCCAACCATAATTGGCAACAAGGGACAATATCACCCTAACTGTGTTCATTTTGGCAACCGGAGCAAAGGTCTCCAAATAATCAACTCCATAGGTTTGGGTGAATCCTTTGGCAACTAGTCTTGCCTTATATCTCTCAATTGATCCATCAACCTTGTATTTCACTGTATAAACCCATTTACATCCAACTGGCCTCTTTCCTATTGGTAAGGTGACTAACTCCCAGGTGATGTTCTTCTCCAATGCCTCCATCTCTACATCCATGGCTTGCCTCTATTTTCTGTCAGACAATGCCTCAGATAGGGTATTAGGTAGAAGTACAGTGTTTAGGTTTACTAGGAAGGTTTTATGGGTAGGAGAGAAATTTTTAAAGGACAGGTAATTTGAGAGAGGGTAGAGTGGTTGTTTAGTGCATTTTCTTGTTCCTTTTCTAATGACAATTGGGAGGTCAGGATCATTTTGGGTTTCAGTTTCAACCTGCACAACTGGAGAAAAAATTGTTACCTCTTTTTGTGGAGTCGAGTTGGATTCTTGAACATGGCTTGATCCTGGAATGGCCTTAGTCTTCCTTGAGTACACCAGCTTCTTACCAAATTTTCCAGCTTCAACATCTTCTTGATCAACTTCACAATTAATTTCACTTTCTTGACCAACTTCCTTTTCTTGACCAATTCCTTGACTTGTTTCATTTGTTACAACTTCAATTTGATCTTCAATTTGATCTCGTTTAGGTTCAAATATCAAGTCTGGAAGAATGGGAAAACCAGAATTACTACTTTCAATATGATTTCGTTTAGGTTCAAATGTCAAGTCTGGAAGAATGGGGAAACCAGAATTACTATTTTCCTTATCTTCCCTGAAACTCTCCCCCTGAAGATAAGGTTGATGGAAATAGCCCTCTTGTTCATTGAAGGTAACATCCCTAGACACAAATAATTTTTTGGATGGGGGGTGATAGCATTTATACCCTTTTTGAGTGGGTGAGTAACCAACAAAAACACACTTTAAGACTCTAGGATCAAGTTTCCCCCTGTCTGTACTATGAATATGGACATATGAGATGCACCCAAAAACTCTTGGTTTAAGATTGTTTGTAGTAGACAAGTTTGGATAGAAAGACGACAAAACTTCCATAGGGCTTTTTGATCCTAAGACTCTAGAGGGTAGTCTATTGATAAGGTATGTTGCTTGTAAGAACAGACTTCCCCAGAAATTTTTGGGACACTTTTTTGGAACAACAATGTCCAAGTCCGATTTAATAGATGTCCATTTTTCCTCTCTGCGACCCCATTCGTTGTCGCTGTTTTGACACAAGAGGACTCATGAATTATACCTTCTTTTTGACAAAAAAATTAAGGACATGATTGAAGTAATCTTTGGCATTATCTGACCTAAGCCTCTTAATATTAACACCAAACTAATTTTTTATCATGGAGTGGAAGTTTAGGAAGACAGAACTGACTTCTGGTTTTTGTTTAAGTAGGAAAACCCAAGTGACCCTTGTACAGTCATCTATAAAGGTGACAAACCATCGAGTGCAAGACACATTTGGAATATTAGAAGGTCCCCATACATCAGTATGAACAAGATAAAAAGGAAAATTACTAATTCTATTACTTATTGGAAAAGATATACGCTTGTGCTTAGCAAGTTCACACACCTCACAATGAAGACTCTCAACATCTAACTTGGTAAACAGAGAGGGAAATATAATTTTGATCACTCCAAAAGAGGGATGTCCCAACCGACAATGATAAAGCATGATTTTTTCTCTGTTGGTCATCAAGGATTCAGATATGAAGGAGTGAGAGATTCTATTCTTGCTGGGCAGACTTGGATCTTCGAGATAATAAAGGTCATTCCATTCTCTAGCATGTCCAATCATCAATCCTTGTCCTAAAATACACAATGATCGTTGAAAAAAACAACTTTACATGACAAATCCTTTATAAGTTTTTGTATAGACACTAGGTTCGTGGACAACTTTGGGACATGGAGAACATCTTTTAAGGTTATTAAAAGATTGATTTGGATATTTCCTTGACTAGCTGCAGTTATAAGGGTTCCATCTGCTGTGGCAATTTTCTTGTTGCTGGGACATGGGGAATATGTGGAGAAGTGTTTGGCTAATGGTGTCATGTGATCTGTGGCTCCAGAGTCCAATATCCAATAATGGTTAAAAAGCGTATCTGAGACATTTAATCCAAAAGAAGGTGGGAACTTACTTGAGTATGCCAAAGAACACATACCTGTAGGTTTTTCCAGCTTACTAAGAACGATTTTCACCATTTCTATCTCATCTTCCCTTGACATTATAGCAAAAATGTGTGATGCAACAACAATGCAGGTTGTCGTCTTAGGAACAAGAAAAATGCAGCAGCAATGCAGGCTGTCGTCTTAGGATTAAGAAAAATGCAACAGCAATGTAGGCTGCCGTCTTAGGGTTAAGAAGAAAAATGCAGCAGTAATGCAGGCTGTCGTCTTAGGGTTAAGAAATATGCAGCAGCAATGTAGGTTGTCGTCTTAGGGTTAAGAAATATGCAACAGCAATGCAAGCTACCGTCTTAGGGTTAAGAAATATGCAACAGCAATGCAGGCTACCGTCTTAGGGTTTATCGCGCGCAGACAGAGCTTCCTAGATCGGAAGCTCTGATACCATCTGGAAACTTAGATTAACTGAAATATGATTTTTATTATATGACATTAAGCACCACTAGTGAAAGCAATAAAACATTTATCAAAAGCAACTTCACAATCAGTCAAAAGCTGACAGAAGTCCAATTCCATTCCATAGCTGATCAATAAGCAGATGATGATTTAAAATTGAAAAAAAAAAAAAAAAACACGAATCGGCTCACTCAATGATTTTATTCTTATGTTTCAATTACTCGTTTGTTGTTGCATTTCTCTTTATTAAGGACTATCACAAACTACAGTCAGAAGCCAACCAAAGCCTAGGTTACGTGAACAGACTTGCTGCACCTTTGGATTATTTCTGCCAACATAAGTCTGAATGCTTTTATTTTGAAGAATTTTTAATACTTCAGAGACTATCTGGCATGATTTCTAATATTTTAGGTCCTACTCATCCAAGTTTATTATTTTCTGGTTGATATAAGAGACTAATTTGAAGAGTTTTTCAATACTTCAGAAACTTTGCGACATGATTTATAATATTGTAGAGACTACTCACATAATTGTATTAGTATAAGGGCTATTTAACAAAGAAAATGAAGCCCAAATTGTTAGTTTATTCCTTAATAATCAAAACTCAGCAGCAGAGACCATTGTAGATAAAAGCACAAACTTTAAGTGGCGAAAGATAAAAAAACCAAAGATTGATTTTACATGCTGACCAATTTGACTCGAGGGTCGACAGAGTGAAGGAACGTGGTGGGGAACGCAACAAACTGGCCAATGGGACTGGCGGTGGCGCCGGCGATTAACCTGAAAACTTTATCCGCGGCGAAAGACCCTGCGGGAACCCACCGGGACCAATTTGCTGCCTGAGCATTACCATCTCCCTTTGAAGCTCTGGCTCTGACTGTGACTCCGAGCCTCACGTTCCTGGGCAAAAGGGTTTGCTTCGGCGTGAGGGTTGCGGAAGGGCGTTTTAGGTAAAGCACGGAACTTTGTGGCGACAGAGAGACCGAAATGAAGGTGGCATGGTTACAGTTCATGGGTGGGTGAGGTGGGAGGCAATTCGGTTTTGAATTGCCTCACAAACTCGGTGACTATGCTGCAATCTCCGTGGCGTTGTAATCATGTGATGTTTCAGAATTCGATGGACTCGTAGAAAGATTGATAACAAGTTAGCTCAATGATGGGTAGGTAGCACTCTCTGGTTCATGTTCATTGTCACGTTCAGCACACCATCAAAATGAAAATTATGGACGATCTTTAAGGTAAAGATTCGACCTTTAACTTGGTGGGAATGAATGACATAATTACTTAGTTTAATATTTCATTTTAAATTTCAATTGAAAAATTCATGTTTTTAATTATTAAATATAAAAAAGACGATCAAGATTTGTTACTTTTTTTTCTCTTGTTTGGATTGGAGAACAACTTTTGTTTGGCAAATTAACTTTTTTTATTAAACACGACCTGGTAATTTACTTAATATTTCTAATTCAAAGTGATTACAGAGTGACAGTTTTAGTCTTACAAATAAATTGAATTTGCTACTGTTCTCAATTTTTAATGAAATATTAATTATTTATTTTCTATTTTGTACTTAAGTAAATTGAATTAATGTTTGTATTTGTAGCACATAACTCTAATATTTTATTGAAAAAAAATTATTTTAGGAAAATTATCTCAATATAAAACATTCACAATTGTTTTTTTATTGTGAAAAACATTAAACTAGAGTGGTTTTGGACCGCAGAAAGTTTCTATTTGATAAACATATTCTTCAAACTTCATACCCTTTAACATTTATAACGTTAAAAAGGTGAATCTATTTTACAAATAATTCGCAGTATGTTCGAAAGAGCGTAAATACACCTTAAAATAAGAGAACAGAAGAAAAATCTAAGATTTTTTTTTTTTCAAAAATTATCCTATATCGAATGCCATACGATTGAGCTTTCAAGATTTCCTCCATTTTTTATTTTTTGACGCCAAGACAGGAGCAAAAAGAAGTTAAAATATGTAGAAAAAAAAAAGTATGTTCTTGCCATATACCTAATAATCATATGTTTTCTAAATCTTAATTAATTTTCATACAGACAATTATTATTGCTTTTTAAATTTATAAGTATTATTGATTTCTTTTCCACCACCATTACGTGCACAGAGAGGAATCACTTATAATCTCTTTCACCATTTTCTGGTTTGTCTCATGAAAGGGTCTTTAAATCCTTTAACACGATGTTGATTAATGTTCCATGTTCTTTACAAGGTTCTCAATATTATTAATTGAGCTTAGTCTCCCCCTCCCAAGTAATAGTTGTAATGGAAGAAAATTTGAAGTCGTGCAATTCTGAGCTATACTAGCTCAGTTATTTCTCTTGCCCAAAAAAGAAAGCTCAGAAGAAATTATTGGGGGCACTGAATGTGGGCAAGCATAAATGAAAATTTGTCCTGAAGCAAATAGTACCAATCAAACTTCTGATATATGATGTGCATTTCATATGACAACCAATATTTCTTTGATCCAAACTAGTAATGATGTAAAAGGAAAGTGCTTGAGCTTTACAGCTCCTTACAAACTACAGGTTCCATCCAGAATGCCATCGATCAATAGATTTAGACCTTCAATGCTAACTTCTGAGCTGCAAGAGCTTCAGCTTCCAGAGTTGGCTCCCACAATAGTGTAGTCTCTGCAAGTAATGATGTCACAACATATGGATCCATGTTTGAAGCAGGGCGCCTGTCCTCCAAGTAACCTATGGTAATATTTGACAAGTTTAGATATTATATGACTTAGGTATTAATTTGGTGGTATAATAAAAGATGCTAAAAATTTCAGCTATCAACCTCAGTCTAAACTTTTGTACTTTCCATTCATCTAGTGCCACTAAACGGTGACCATAAAATTGTTGTTAATGACTTACCTTTGCCATTCTTCTCTGTGTCTCTTCCCACACGGATTGAGCAACCACGGTTAGCAACTCCCTGCAAGTTAAATTTTATTAGGATGTTTCACACAAGAAAAACTTCACGCTGATTACACTGTGCTTAAAACAATGATAGGTATTGGCAATTTTGAAAACATACCCAAGAAAATGTGTTAATGCTTGCTGTCTCATGCTTTCCTGTCAACCTTCTTTCATTTCCTTCTCCATATGCACTAATGTGATCCTTGTGGCGTAGTGATAGATTCAAAATTGCCTTCTTTATTACCTCAAAGCCTCCATCTTCCCTCATGCTCTTCGTACTGAAAGGTAAGTGTGTTACCAACTTAAGTAATTTGGTAAGTAAAAACGATACATGCAAAGAGGGATGGAAAAAAACCTGTAATTGGTGTGGCATCCTGCACCATTCCAGTCACCCTATGTTTCACCAAAACAATTAATACAATTAAGGTAGGATAATCAACACTGTCAATTAAAGCATTACAGTACCTCTATTGGTTTTGGATCAAGAGAGAGCACAACACCAGCTTGCTCAGTAATTCTCTGTCATGTCAGACCAAAATACAATATTTTAATTAGAAGATGCAAAATTGGAAAGAGGACATGAGAATTAGCACAAACTATTGTTTATTTACACGGGACAATCAACAATTTTCAGTTACAATCAATGGCATGAACCTTCACCTGCCATCAAACTTATCCTTAAGAAAGCTAAAATCTTCAGAGTTACTAAAGAATTAATAAAAACTATAGATGAAAAAAAAAAATTCAAGCAAGAGATATATGTGCAACAATTTAAATTCTTTGACCTTACTTATCTGCCTCTAAAGAAGAGTAAAGAGTTCAAAAGTGCAATAATTGTCCATTGAAAATAACGCATAACTACAAGCATGGAGCAATTCTCAGGTATGCATATATATAATGACAACGTATCAAGCTTAGTACAAAGATCCACTTCTTAAAATTCACCTGAACATGAACAAGAACCATACAAAAGCCAAAGCCTTAAAAAGACATTATATTGAACCAAAAACCTCCACAGAATTAAGATACTATGACACTCTTTGGAAATTGGTTCTTTCAAGAGTTTAACCTTTCAATATCAAACAGTCCAACAGTGTGTGTAAACCAAAAAAGTAGGCAAAGTGAATTACCTCGAGGATGTACCTTGAAGCCCATATATGATCACCAGCCTCAATACCTACACTAGGACCAACTTGATACTCCCACTGCAATATTATAGAAGAATTAATGAGAAAAACTGAGTTGACATACATTGGACTTAAATCAAAGGGAAATGCAAGAGATGTACCTGCCCAGGCATAACCTCCCCGTTGGTGCCACTAATGTTAATTCCAGCATATAAGCAAGCCTTGTAATGAGCATCAGATATATCACGTCCAAATGACTTATCTGCCCCAGCACTGCAATAGTAAGGACCCTGAAATATGAAAGAATAACTAACTAAATCCACATTATGAATTTGACATATTAGAGGGTGTTAGAGATGAAGTGTGTGTGAGAATCTCACAATGTATAGAGATGAGAAAGTGGAAATAAGTAAGAAAGATGCATAAATCTGTTGTCTGAAGGACTTGAAAATTCCCAAAACAGGAAAATGTGAATAAAAGCCAAAATAGAACTAAAAGAAATGACATTACCTGAGGACCAGGATAGCCACCAACAGGCCAACCTAAGGGCCATTTCACATTTGTTTGAAGTAAGGTGTACTCTTGTTCTATTCCATACCTTTGACCAATTAACATACAACATTAGCATGTTTTCTGTTAAGTTTGTAATTCAACACCAAAGTTCAGTTATCTTCTACAGTAAGTGTGATCAAATGAAGGATAAAAGCAACGTCAGGATTTGGTTAGGCATCACAAGATAAGAGATGCTCAACATGTCAGAATTTTAATAGCCATTATTACTCATTAAGTCATTATTTGTTTTTCTTTTTGGTCATAAATCATCATACATAAAGCACTTGGGAGATCCACCCTCAAAAACTAGCTATTAAGGGGACACTTATATACCGAACATCCTATACTACTCAAATTGAGACTTTGACACCCCATAATATCCAAGTTCCTATCACATAGAGTTATTCAACAATAGTTGGTATAAACATTAAACCAAAAATAAAAAAGATAATTTTATGTGTAAAGATAAGAAGTATTGTATATACCATGGAACTTCTGCGATGACCTTTGGGTTACTAAAAACTTCAGCAGCTCTGTGTCGCTTGTTTGTAGGGATAGGCTCACCTGCTGGTGTGTAAGAATCACAAATGACCTTTGCAAAACAAGTATATCAAGTTAACTAGATAATATATGTTTTTTAATTTCAATCAACATGCCATGAGACCTCTTTCAAGAATAACCGCCCTTACCAAAATATTGTTACCACCACGGAAAGGATCTTTGAAAATTGCTTGAGGACTGGGAGAATAAAAAACAGATTAGAATTACAAATGAAATGTTGTAGAATAAGCAACATTAACAGAATGAGTGCCACAACTCTTACTATAGGATTACTTCACTATCTTCACCCGGTGCCTGTCCAGTACTAGATCCATCATAATTCCATTTAGGAAGCTCAGAGGGATGTTCAACCGGCTTTGATATCGTCTAAAAAATGAAGTAGAGGATTATCATGAAATACTTCAAATGACAATGGTAGGACTAATTTCTCTTAGCCTGTTTACAACATTATAACTAACATACTCTTGATTTACTGCGCACATCAATTCCAGTCCCCCCAATCCTGTTTCAAAATACAAAAAATCAGTTTTTTTTAACCAAAAAAAAAAAACAAGTTTTAAATACCTTGCAGTGTCACCTAGGAGACATTTAGATCCGATTGAACAAACTTATCTATAAATACTTCCAAGAGAAAAATAAATAAGTTTTTTCATACATTAAAATTATCTTCTGCATAAATTACAAAATAACTTAAAAGAATATATATATATACAAAAAAAATTACAGACTAATTTATGCATTAATTTTTAACTTTACTATAATGTTATTTCATTTTAGCTTAATTATGGTTCTTATCATTTGAATGAATTTGATTTTGGAAAAAATCATTTTAATCTTTCAACATTTAGTGTTTAGAGGCTTAAAAAATGTTTTTTTTTTTTTTTGAGGGAATAATTTTTTAAGCAAAAATTGATGAGACTAAAACTGGATTTCCCTATAGAGACTAAACATGATTAAGTGTTTAACTCTCCGTTCTTATTTTATTCTCTAAGAAGTATTAATGGAGAAGTTTGTCCTTGGATTATGCAAGCATGAGACTCAAAGGCAGAATAGAAGGAATACCAAATGTACTCAGCAATTATCTTGTCAGTGAATGGGGTGATATCCAAATTAAGTAGACCCTCCAGCCTGTTGATGGTGCTATTGTCAGACTTAACTGCCAGCACTCTAAATTTTGCAGAACTTGTAGGTGCAACTTTCTTTTTTTGTTTCATCAATAAAGAACTCCACATGTTTGATGTAATGGGACTGGCATTGGGAGAGGATTTTGTGATTCTCATCTGCCATTGCGTAGTGGGAGCCAAAATCTGTGCCATGTTCTGCTGTTCTGCTCAGAAAATGATGAGAACCCCCAATCAGAAAATGAATCAAATTAGAATACATAATACAATTTTATGTTTGATATTAAATGCAGTTTATACTTAACAGAATTATAATTAATGCATAATGTTTATCAGCTATTCTGCAACCACTAACAAATGATGACTAATGAAACCACATATAAAGTCATTCTAAAGCAATTGAGTCAAATCCTTCTTAAAACTAACTTCAGTGAGTGAAAAAAAGACCAAAATCATAAAAATTTCCCCTCCCAAAGAGGATTATAATCTAGAAAGTAACATGTATCAACATCAACCATAAATGATGACTACTTAAAAGATCTCATAATGAAAATTAAACAAATCCCTATTTAAGAACCTGACATTCCAATCTGAGTCACTGCAACACTCTATAAGATGCAAATTGTATAATACAAGATTAAATCCTTTCATATATGAAATAAATATGTTTATCAAACCAACATAGAAGATAGTATAATTGATTAAAAATTTGATTTGGAGTTCAGACTCAGATCAACATTTATCCATAGTTACCACACGACCAAATTTAATTTTTAATCAAATCCTGTATCCCCTCTGAACCATTATAGTGGCTCATTTTTCACTGCTACTTTACCTTGTCCTGGTAGCACATGTTAGCTTTTTCTCCCTTTCACACACACACACACACTAAACATGTATCTGGGAACATTTATATTAACCTAAAAAGAAACCTGGATAATCCTACACTATCTCCTAGTTTAACAAATGAAACCATAACATGGGAATTAAAATATGCCGCTTTGGTAGTATATAATATTTAAATTAAATTTGCTTGAATAGAAAATGACAACTTTTTTAATCAATAGAAGACATATAATGACGAAAACATGAGTTAGGCAGATAAATAAAGCCACGTGTGACCATAAAACTACGACCTATTCACTACCCTACTTCATAGACATGTGAGATCATGTTTGAAGCAATCCTTTCGCAAACCTAGCTTGCAAAAGCATCACCAAATAATAAAACAAGCGTTTTATTTTCTTCATTAAAGAAGCATTATAATTACTTGACTAAAAACAAAATTTTGGAATTTACTGATAGAGCAGTGCATGAAGATCACATTATGCAGTTCAACAAACCTGGCTTTTCAAGCCTCATACATTTTCATTATTTACAAAAACAAAACCTGAAAGTTTCCCTTTTGAAGTGAAGAAACAATAATAACAGAAATGGTGATGGGAATGGGATGAGGAGTGAAATTTTACTGAGGGACTATTACACAACCAAAAACTTCTAACCCTTGTGTCAAAAAGTTAGCATGAACAAAAACAGAATCACAGCCACGGAGAAATAAAAAATACTAAAAATGTGACACTTTACAGGCTTTGGCCACTCAGAAAAGAGTTTACACGCAATGACGCAAGGAAACTCACCAATACAGAGTAGAAAAATGAGGAAAGGTGGGAACTTGGAAAGTGGGTCGAAGTGAGTCTGCGTGTGTAACAGACCCTGAGTCACAGTGGGATAGCTATAGTATATCAGAGTATGAGAGCCTGGTGTAAAATAGGGGTTGGTGGACACAAACTTTCTTGGCTTTTCTAAAACCGATAGGGGTGTGTTACGAGTGGATGAAATTGGCTTTTGGTCCCTTCAAGAGCACCAAGAGAACCTTGGACTCCAAATGTTACAGATAAGGTTTTTCTCAGGCAAACTTTTTTTTTTTTTTCCATTCAACATATTACAAATACCTTTTTTTTAATCATAACATGTTGTCAAGGATAACGAGTTTTCAACTTGATGTATAGGAATCACAAATGATTAAGAAATATTTTGTTTTTGTCTCTGATATCTTGTTTTGGTCTTGGATTCATTTCTTCACCCGTGATATGGCAGTTTGAGTGTGGAAAACAAATACAAAAAATATCATATTTCGTTGTACTTTCGTATGTTTAATGATATGCATTTGAACCTTACGTGAATGGAATATCGTAATTAAAGTCAATTTGATTATTATAATAAGGGAACATTTTAGGTACTAAACTATAACAATAGCCACGTGTATTAAATCGATTTCTACACCTATAAGTCATATGTTTACTGTAATAACAAGAGCTGGTTTTGTTTGGCAGGTTGTCACAGGTTTCCCTAAGCATTGGAGAAATATAGATATTGATTTGTTGTTGATACAACATTAAGTAAGCATTTAAATCGCTCTTCTGTCTTTAGTGAAATAAAATATAAGTTACGTCATTTACTTGTTCAAAGTTCAGCTTTTAAGCTTTAATGGAATCAATTCAAAAACAAATTAAAAAAATGAATTAAATCTGGAAAGCACATTAAACTACATAAAAATGTATGGACCACTTCAATTTTAGATGTGGCTAAAACTTCTGTATTTTAATTGTCTAATAATTTGTTCAGCAAATAACATTTATAAATTATTGAGAAATGGTGGTGGTTGGTGGTGGTGGTGGTGGTGGTGGGTGAGAGACTATGGTTTGGATTATGGGGACCAGCATTGGATAAGAAGTTGTTCCCTTTGGGTGTGTGTGAGTGTGAAACACTCTTTCAAGTATGGACCCTTAACCACCACAAGGTGTCCTAACATCATCACATTATTTCTTTCATTTTCATCTCTATCTTCTGAAAAAGCTGGGAAGTTCCTCTTCATCAATCAATTACTGTGTTGAGACTGATCAAACAAACTACTTTGTCTTGTGCTTTCAGCTACCACGCATTCCAAAGGTTTATCAAAACGGGGATAGTTCATAAGGAACAAGAAAAAAGATTGGCTTTGTTATTTACTAAGCAATGTAATCACACTGTTGTCAAATTGATGGTAGTACATGTTATGCTTCTATTTCTTTCTTGTGTTTTGGTTACTATAATTATTTTCCCTGTCCAGGACTTTTCTTTTGTGTTTTTTATTGCTAAAAAGTTGTGGGCTTTGGCCCAGTTTTCCCTAATGGGACATAAACCCTTTTTCTCACTCCATGCTGATGCTTCCCCATCCCATATGTTCATCTTACAGTTTTTGTTTATTTAAAATATTGTAGAAAACATTTCGTATTTCTTTTTTTAGAAACTTCTTGAAATAAAATTTTCAAGAATATTTTGGATTGATCTTCTAAAAATGTTTCAAAATCAATATTTTGGATAAAAATGGTTATTGTCTGTCTCGTTTTAACCTACGTTTTATCACACAAAACGCGGTGGAACAAATTTTATTTACCGTTGAATATTATGACTCGTTTTATGTAATTAAAAAAATTACATATATTATTTATCATATTATCTTTGTGTAATTTTAAAATAAAATATAACAATAATATATTCTAAAAAGAAAATATAAATTTTTAAAATTCAATTAGATATATCTTTTTCTTTTTTTATTTGATGAATTTAGTCTTCAATTTCATATTTTTTATTTGTCTTCAATATTTGATTTGAGCAAGATCTACTACCTACATCATAATTATTTCTAATCATAGTTAATTTTAAATTAAATTTAAAAAACAATTAAGTAAAATCTCATTACTAATAATGACCTATAAAATTAACAAACAATAATGCACTAAATGAATTTTAACATTAAAAATAAATAAAAACACAAAAAAATAGAAAATAGATTAAACTTTAAAATTTGTAAATAATTGATTAATTTAAATATTAAAAAGTATATAAATTATGTGATGAACTTGTCCTGTCTTATCCGCATAAGTTACAGGTTAAAAATGCTGAACAGCCCTTTCTTTTTCTGACTGGGTTATACTGTCTCGCATTATCGCCCCTAATTTTGAATTGACTTTTTACAAAAGCTTATATGACGGAGTTTTCTGAAAATATTTCATAATCAATTTTTGAAAATATTATAAAATAATTCTTCAAGGACGATGAATTTATGTTCAAAATTGTATAATCCGTAACTTAAACTATATATATGTGCAGGTGATTGAATTCCATTAAATTTGAACAAATTAAACTTCCACAACAAATTTTAATTTGCGTGAGTTAAGTTTTTGTTTTTTATTTTTATTTTAACTATTAATAACAATATTAAATCAGTCACTGTATAAGTTAAGACATAGGTTTGAATTTAAAGATTAGGGTTAATAAATTTAATAAAATAATACGTATATAATATAATAAATTCATTAATAATAATATATCTTTTTAAATAATAAATATTATATCAGTCAATATAATAAGTATAAAATATATTAAAAATAATAAGATAAGTAATTATTAAAATAAAATAAAAATATAACATAATTATTATTATTTATATTTTACGTAATTAATATGAAATAAAAAAATTAAAATATATTATATTTTAAAAAATTGATCTTAATTTTTTTATTTTATTAAAACTAGTTCGGTTAAAAAATTAAGGTTTTTTTTTTACTTTTCGTTTTATTTAAATTTAATTAAAATTCAACTATTTAAAAATAATGAATCGATTTTTAAATTGATTTAATCTTGATCTAGTTTTCAAAACCACAATTAATAATATAATATTATTAATTTAATTATTTAATATTTTGTATATTAACTCAATAACACTTGTAAATTTAAGTATTTATAATTATATAAATTTACTATCAACATTTAACAATATTTTAAAAAAGTCTATTATACTAAGGAATAACTTTGTCAAAGTTTGTATTGAGTATTTTAACTCTTAGCTTCTTAGAATAGGAAAAAGAAAAGCTTAAATAAAAGGAGAAAAAAAGTAAAATATATTTTAGGGTATTTAAGCCAACTTTAAAGAAAGTTATTAAGAAAAATATAATAAAAAAATATTTTATTATAGAATTGATGAGTTATTTCAAAATTAAAGTTTATATAACATTATTTTATTTAAAAAAATTAAATAACTATTATATTAAATTTATAATAAAATATTAATTTTTATTTCTATTTTAATTTTCAATAATTTTCAGTTATTATGTTTTTTCGAATATTCAACAATCACTCGTAAAAATTCATATATTTGATGGAATATTTTTGTAAATTTTTATAAAAATTTGAAAGAAATAATTTTTTATAAATTTAAATAAACTTTTACAAATAACTATTTTTTATTAATAGATAATATATTTCTTAATATAACAAAAAAAATGCTTATTATTCTCTTCATTCTGTAATTTCTATTGTTTAAAGCTTTTGCAATAATAAATATATTATTTTTAAATTAAGTTAATATAGTAATCTCAAACTTCTTATTATAAACACAATCTTTTGAAAAAAATATTAAGTATGATTAAGAATAAAATAATTAATATGAGAATAAAAATAATTTTGATATTTTTTATATGATTAGAATATGAAAATAGAATTAATTTAATAAACCGATTTGAAAAGTTCAAAGAATATATTATGTTAAATCGAAAACTTTTTTATTAAATTAGACTTATTTTAATCTAATTTATTTAAGTAATGACAAATATGAATTAAGTAAAGCTAATTTATAAGTTTATGAATAATTTCATTTTTTAAAATAATAAATATTTTTAAAATAAAATAAAAAACTTATTTTATTAAATATATATACATTATAAATTAACTTAATAAAAATAAATATCTAATAATAATTTATTTAAAGATTTAATACTTAAGATTAATTTATTATTTTAAATTAATAAATTATTAAAAATAAATAATAATAATAATAATAATAAAAGAATAAATTTTTATTTTTTATTTTAAGATTAAATAGATGTATTTTTTTTATAATTTATATATTAAATTATTATATTTTAAATAAAAATTAATTTTATTAATAAAATTAAAATTTTTAAAATATATTTTATTTAAATATTTTTGTAATTAAGTAATTTGTATAAATATATTAATATTTTTTTAATTTCAATGGTCTTTCATCTAGTTGACCTAAGACTAAATTAGATTAAAATTCTTGACATGTTTTAAAATATACATTTTAAGATATACGTTTTAAAATATAAATTAAACTAGATCAGTTATTAATTTTACTTAAATCATAAAATCAAAGTTAAATTAAAATAAATAGCCCATTTTAACACCTTTATATCTATGATTAAAGACATCCAATTATTTTGAAAGAGTAAATAAGGGGAAAGACGAAAAGGAAATGATAGAAACCAAAGCTCAATGATGGTTATCACTTTTATGATTTCTCACATGCCATCTTTATTTTTATGTTGTTAAAGTCACGATTTTCCAGATAACTCCAACATCAATCATTAATAATTATAATTTCTCATATTTTCATAAATTTACAACTTTCACAAATAGACTCGTGAATTAAAAGGTAAAGGCTTAAAAAATTAAATTTTAATATTTTTAAATATAATAATTTAATATATAAAATAGTATTATTAAAAATTTAATATATAAATTAATAACCACTAATTTATTTCCATAACCACGTATTTCATTTAAAATAATTATTCAGTATATAATTTTTTAAAATGAATTTCACATTGATATTTGTTGAAGAGTTTATTCTTCCTTGACATCATTTACTAAATAATTTTAAAGAGAGTAGTAAATATACTTTATTTAAAAGTATAAAATTTAAATTATACAAACGTTAAATTAAAATTTATTACTAAAATAACATCATACGATAAAAAAAATGTAAATGCATAAATATTATGTTGCGTTTATGTTTCGTCTACAAATAATATTATTTTATTTTTATTAAATAAAATTCATACTGATACAAATGGTTTTTATCCTTAACAAATTTTATCCGATAGTAAATAACATTTTGTTCTTGTGTGCATGTCGTTATTTGCATATATTGCTGTTAGTAATTACTAATACATGTAAAATAATAAAAAAAAAACTTTTTTTATAACTGTAACTATTTTTAAAATAATATTATTTTTACATCTTCACTAAATATTAAAAAATATAGAAAATGCAGCACAAAAACAAATTCAGAAGACAGATAAAAAAATAAAAATGTAACACATAATTACAGCAGTGGGAAAATAACTTATTCAAACCAAACAAGTTCCTTAAAAAAAAATTTAGATTAAACATTCATTTTATTTTCTATAAATTTCTCTTTTTCTTATTTCTATCTATCCTATTTTTTCATTGTAGAACAAAGATGATTTCTACAAAGTAAAGGAGAGAAAAATATAAACACAAGTAATTATAATAGGATTAAAAGAAATAATAGATAGAAGGACGAAGAATTTAATGCAATATCATATTCGTGCATTGTTGTTGGGCGGATAACACATCATTTTACAATCCATTCATTCGGCGAGCAGCACAGCATGAGCTTCTCTACTGTCCATATTCAGTTGGAAGTTTGGCATGAGGAAGATGACGACTAGACTTGGTTTGGTTGACAACATCAACAGCATCAAAATTTCCATTATTGTTATTGTTGTTTTCTTTTCTTTTAATATTATTTCCAACAAAAGAAAAGAAGCACAGTTGGAACTTGGAAATAAACAAAAGAACAACAAAAACAAAAGTCTGCTCCCTCTGGTCCCTTTCACTCTGTTTCATTCTTCTTTGTCTCACAGTTGTCTTCTCTTGCTACCCCCTCTTTCTCTCTCTTTCCACACTTTTTCTTTCTTCTTTTCCTTCCAACTTCAAATGTTTTATACGTTTGTTTGAACACCTGAAACATTACATCTCTGATCGTTTCAAAATATGGAACCGCTTGTCAACTTCATAATTCGGCCACCCAGGTACCTTCTTTTCTCCTTCTTCCTCTCTATTGAGATCAACTTTTTCAATCGAAGTTCTTCTTTTTCTACACATTCTCATGTTGGTATTTGCTTATGCTTCTTCTTGTTGGTTTTTAGCATAATTGTAATCATCCCCGTCTTCTTCTTTTTTCAAACGCAAAGAGCTGCTAGAGCAAGATATAAGTATATTCAGTTTAATGTTTTCATTTCCTTTGCATCTCCAGGAGAATCATAGAGTTGTCTTTATGTTTTGGTGAGCTGTACAGTACAGTGTACTCATCCTGTTAACTTTGGTTGTTATTTGTTTGGTTGAAATTTTTTAGATCTATTGTTAAGGTACCGTAAAAGTCTTACTTTTCTGTAATGTGAGTAAACTGCAAAGCTTTACGTGGTTACCTACACTGTAAACACTGATAGCTACGGTAAGCTTGTTCTGCAAATTTCTTTATTTTCCGAACAAATATATGGAAATAGCTTTTATTTTATAATTCGCACCTCCTATTAGTATTTCTATAACAAGTTCCTATTGTTTTGTGTGTTCTGAAAATGAGATCTGTACTTCATGTAACAATTATCTTCTGAATCTTGAGAACACTAGACTTTTGAAATGTTCTTTGGGCTTTTGGGTGGCAGATGAGAGTGTATGGACCCCCTAAAAAAGAGTACGAGGGGAAATGAAAATATCATGTTAGTTAAAATCTTTTCAGAGTTACAATGAAAAAACACATATTTCTTCGATACTGCATATTTTTGGTATATCATATACAACTGCATAATTTTAGAATTATGTCCAAGCATGTAGTGAAACTGAGGGGTTCCATAATTCACTGCAAGGTTTGACATATTTCTAAAAGTGTGCAGTTGTATATCATATGCCCGTCACAAAATAGCTACATGATTGAGGTCACCTTTCTGCAATTATGTCATAAGATGAAGTGAAATTGAGTTCTGTTACCTATATGACTAAGTAATTTTTTTCTCTGTTTTTGTTTCAAATTTGATTGTGATATTATGTTATGACTGTATCTGTTTCTGGTATGCAGAGCTGAATATGATCCAAAAAGTGATTTATTGGATTATGAATTCATGCTAAAAGGGAAATGGTTTCAACGGAAGGATGTGGAGGTATAGTTAAAAATAAATTCAGCATGCTGCGTAAAAGCATTGGATCCATCCAGGGATATGCATGCAATGGTTGATTTTATCTTATTTCGTTGGGTCTCTTAGGCAAGCTTCTACATAAGGATTTTCAGAAAAGAAAAAATATGAAGAAAAAAAATGAAATTGACATCTTCATAAGTTAAATTTAACTTATTTTCAAAATGTAAATAAAATTTAGTAGAAACTATACGAGAGAGCTTCTATAAATTAATTTTAACTTATGAACAAGTCATGTTATTTTCTTTTTTATTTGAGGAGAAGTTCCGCCAACTATGAAAAAAGTTTAGTTTCATTATTTGTTTCAATCCCAAGTAATTTGATTGATCTTTTGGAGAATTGTCACAAGAATTATTTCCAAAGTAGGATGCCAGCAGCATGAAAGAATTGGTTAGTCAAATATGAACATTACTGTGGTGACTCTGTATTTTTATCAGTAAGTTATAACATATAAAATGTATGTGATCATCTAATTTTAAGTACCAAATCAATTGCGAAGTTTATTTTGCGGTCATTCCTTTTTTCATCATAAGTATTATGTTATTATTAACTCGTTCTTTTTAGTTGAGTTGATGACTTGAATTAACAGCTTGTCATGTAATATTTGATATTCTGCAGATAAAAAACAGCCGCGGGGATATTCTTCAATGCAGTCATTACATGCCAATTGTCAGTCCTGATGGAAAGCCTCTTCCATGTGTAATATATTGCCATGGAAACAGGTAACTCTGGGACAAAGTGCATTTCTTGGTTTGTTTACATGACTAGCATGCAAGTCGATGCTTCAAAGAGACCATCCCATTCTTAAACGTTTCTTTTTCAGTTTATTTTATGTAGCATTATAAATGTATACAAGCAATGAGTTTGATATGGTGACTGGAACACACGAGAATTTCTACATTTTCAATACAACAATGCTGCTATGAAAGCTTTGCCTTTCTAAATATTTGTTGACTTGAAGTATATTCTTACGTTTCTTGGTGCTTACGTACAGATGTTATGGATAATTACACTACACCTAAAAATGAAAACTGGAGAAGTTATTAATAAGACATTTAAGTGTACTTATCTAGTTGGTTGGCTTTAGATATCTTGGAACTTGGATGCCTTGCTCTTGGTTTAAACCCATTTTAATCTGTGACCCCTCTTTCCCCGTGATTTCAAACTGTAGAGTCTACATCAATTCAATTTTCTGATTTGATCGTGAAATTTCAGATATTTGGAAGTCTAATACTTTTTATGAGGTTCTTTGCTGTTGGTTGTTTATTTGGTGGTGCACTTTTTATTTATTCCAATTTCATATGGTCTTGTTGCTTATTTTGTGCAATGTTTATGGCAGTGGATGCAGGGCTGATGCCAGTGAAGCTGCTATAATTTTACTTCCTTCAAATATTACAGTTTTTACCCTGGATTTCTCAGGATCGGGAACCTCTGGAGGAGAGCATGTCACTCTAGGTTGGAATGAAGTAAGCGCTTGCTCATTAACTGTTTGAACTTTGAAACATATCATATATAATTGTATCATCATCATATATATGATATGATTCTTATCGCTATCTTTGATGGGAATTCATTTCTCCATCTCTATCATGGCAGAACCAGTGCCTCAATATTTTGAAAGTGATATTTGGGGATAACATCATGACATATTTTGCATGATTTAGCTATCTAGGTTCTATCTTCCAAAGCAATGGGGAAGTGGATATGAAATCGTTACTGCTATATGATAGGGAATATTGCCTATTGAGCGTCACAATGCCAAGCAGAGTCCAAAAGAAACAGTATAGCAGGAATGTTGAAGTTGATTAGTGCAGTTGACATCCTAGAAAAAACTAATGTCAGGAATGAAAGTTTTTATAAGTTAGAGTACCATCTATTGTGAAGAAGCTGACAAGAATTTACCTTGGGTGGTTTGATCATGAGAGGAGAGGACTGTTAGAGGCTCTAGTTGAAAAAAAAGTGGATAAATGGAAGATAAACGCTAATAAATTGCTTACATCACAATAGAAATGAAATGCTTCTGCTTGTACATTATTGTGAGTTTGCATATGCACTACTACCATTGCTATGATGCCCTTTTTAATTATGAAGATTGTTTACATTCTTGTGTTTTCAGAAGGATGATCTGAAGGCCGTGGTCAACTATCTGCGGGCAGATGGAAATGTCTCTTTGATTGGCTTATGGGGACGCTCAATGGGTGCTGTAACTTGGTAATTTTTCATCATCCACTTCTTCATTCGACCTTACATCGTAAATAAAGTTATAGAATGATCTACGAGGTAGTGGTTGTATGTGGTCCATTAGTACTCAGATCTGATAGTTAATTGTCAATAAGTTGATTAGTTTGTTAAAGAATAGAAACCACATAGTTGACCTTTATTGTTGGCATCCTCTTATAAGAGCTAGTGTGGCTTGAGATGAAATACGCAGAAAGACTTCATTAAGATTATTTTTATTTGTTAATGATCATTGTATTGGAAACAACAATGAAGGGATCACAATCCTTAAGATGGTACCCGAACACGACCTTAACTAGTAAAAGGAGGTGTATGACATTTCTATCATGTTCATTTAATGGGTTGTCTGCAGAGTATGATGATCTTGAGAATAATGCATTTAATAGTATATTCATTTATGCTTGTTTGAACCTTGGAAATTATTTCAAGTGATATTCTTTTGTAGACTTTTGGAAATGACCTGCTTTTCATGTATGTATTTATGGCTTTCTGCCTCAAATATTTCATACCATTTCCTATCAAATAACATTCTCCTCATCGAAAGTGTGATAGCAATTCAGTCTTACTAGTATATATCTATCACTATCCTTCTTGCCATTAATTATGTCATTCCTTGCAGCCTTATGTATGGAGCTGAGGATCCTTCAATTGCAGGGATGGTTTTGGACAGTCCCTTCTCCGATTTGGTTGATTTAATGATGGAACTTGTAGATACATACAGAGTCCGTCTGCCAAAATTCACAGTGAGTGTAGTGGTGTATTACATTTTTCTCTCGTTTTGAGCATAGATTGTAATTGCCCTACACTACAATTTTTCAAGTACATTTATATTTGGTTCACGTTGCAGGTGAAGTTTGCAATTCAATACATGCGAAAAGCAATACAGAAGAAGGCAAAATTTGACATAATGGACTTGAACACCGTTAAGGTTGTTTTTCTTTTTTATTTTTTTGTTTGATGATTTTTTTTTTCTATTAAAAAAAAAAGGAGATCTCTTTCGTGGGCGAACAAATCTGAACCAAATACATGATTTCATAGAAAAAAAAATCATTTGGGGAAAAATTTACAATATTCAATTTTCTTTTGTTTCTTAGTACTTTCATATTCTTCATTGCATTTATTCATTATTTGTTTGCATTGCAGGTAGCAAAATCTTGTTTTGTTCCTACTCTAATAGGGCATGCCATTGAAGATGATTTTATTCGTCCTCATCATTCAGATCGTATACTTGAAGCTTATATGGTAAATATGATTCCAAGAATTTGGTTAAATATGTTTTAGTAGGGCAATGTTTGCTTTTAGTCCCTTTTTTTTTCCTAGTCTCTCATTTATGAAATCTGGTATGTGTAATCCCTGAGTTCATAGACAAGAAGAAGACCGATTTTTTTAGGAACTAAAAAGGAATATATTTAGATGGACTAAAAACATATTCCACCAAGAATTCTCATTTCCTGCTTCCTTTTTCTTTCCTAATCATGACATGGTTATTTGTAATCATGAAAAAAACACATTGAAAATTATAGAAAAATGGAGTTTTACACGGATCAATAAAACTTCTTTACATAACTAAACTGAAAATTGAAAACTTCTTTACACATTGAAAATTGAAAGTTAATATTAGCTTATATTAAACTGATTTATACGACTAAACTTCTTTCTTCCAACTCTGTTTGATTAAACTGTCTTCTTGTCATTTTGTAAGCCTCTGTTACTTAATACATGTTTGCTGCTTTAGAATTATAAAATGTCTTCTAGATAGTTTCTCAGACAGGACATGTTAGAAGTCTTCTATGAATTGTCATTTTTACACTTCACATTTTCTTTCTTTTATCTTCTCAGTTACTCATTCTTGTATGCCTGACCTTTTGGATCTATAATATGGTTGTTTATGCTTTGTAGGGAGACAAAAACATAATTAAATTTGATGGAGATCACAATTCTCCCCGTCCTCAGTATTTTTTTGATTCTGTAAACATCTTTTTCCACAATGTTTTGCAACCTCCAGACGATGAGCTTGGGGAATCATTTTTTGACATTATGAATGATTACTTTGGTAAGGTAAACTCACCATGCATCTCTTTGGTTCCATTTGGTCAAATGCCAAGCTCCATTCGTTAACATTTATTTTTAAAATGTTATTCTTTTTTACACAGGATGTTTGGAGGTCCGTGCATGAATTTGGCTATGGCAATGAACCATCACTTCGAAACAAAGGCATGACTCGAGTATCCTGTGTCTCTTAATTCCTTATGCATCGGTATCCATGATGCATTTGGTAACCTTGCTAGTAATGCAAAGCTCTTAATTGTTTCCTTGTTAATTGCAGAATCATCAAGAAGCAGTGCCACGGATGATAAGCAAGTCCGTTCAAAAAGACCTATGAGTAGGATGGAGGTTTGTATTTATTTGATCTTAGTTTACTGTCAGAACAGAGTAGCTGCAATTGCAAACAGCTTTCTGAGAAAATATTCACATGATAGATATTAAATGTAGATTGGTGCTTGTTAAAACATTGTTGTCACTAATTTTAAAATAAGTAAGATTTTCAGATTCGCACGGACTTTGATAATTTCTCCCTCATCAATCCATATTACACTCCAATAGAGCATATCTTGAGTATATTTATTGAATCATAATCTCTCATCAATTTATTAAGTTTCAGATGATTAATAAGTCATTTTCTATTCATAAACAAATATCGTTGATATAAAACTTATTAGGATTCCACAATCTCTTACTAATTCAAATACATTATGATTGATGAAGACACAAATAATCATGATAATATCAATCAAGAAGAGAGTTAGAGAACGTATCAAAATATATCAGAGTTAGCGATTTCATCTAACCCCAACCATTGAACATGTTGCTACTCATGATATTTAACTTGAAAAACAGAACAAAAGATGAAGTGAATGATAGAATTCATGAAGGAAGTTTCAGTGAACGGGCTGTCTGTTCCTAGCTTTCTTCATGATGAAGCTCTCTTTCTCTCTCCAAAAATTCCATAAATAGGATGTTTTCTAAACCAATTAAGGCTGTTCTGTGTGTCAATCTAGCTGGGTGACAGTGATAACTCACTGGGCGTGTTTACAGACCACAAAACACCATTCTCTGTTAAGAACTACGCTGGGCTAGTCTTGATGTAACAAAATTAGGGCCGACTTTGGCTTGGCTAAATTGGATCATGGCTGAGTTTGGTTATCTTCAATTCTTCACCTTTCGGGCTTTGCTTCCTTCTTGAAACTCTTCTTAAAGTTTCTAAATTCTTTCTTTCTCAAATCCTACCAAATGGATTTACTGATGTATCAAACAAAAAGTGAAGTAAATTAGATTGAAAAGTGCTAAAGAAAGTAAAATAAGTGCATTATTGTGCTTTTAAAATTAAGCACAATAAGCACTTATCGGTGCTTCCTGCCATACTTGACATGTCTGGAATTCACGTGATAAATATAAAATGGAGATTGTTCCTTCTGATCAAATATGATAGATGCTCCCTATAAAATACATTAGGTTTAAGAAGCAACTTTTATCCATTAGCGGCTGGAGCTAAATGTTTTCTTGAAATTCCTGGCATTTATCACCAATCATTATCACTAAATAACAGCATAATTATTGCATTACCATAGAAGAATTTGTTCCTTGCTTCTGAAAACCTTGAAAATGCTCCAAGCGTGCAAGACAGACCCCTAGATTCGCCAAACTTTTCAAAAATCTTGCTACAAATATATCTAGCAGCTCGACAGTTAATAATTCTGAAGCTACTAAATTACTACTCATGTAACTAAAGCATCAAATAATGCAAACTGTCAAGGACCAATTCCTCCAAAAGCTTAATTAAGCTGTAATGTTAAAGTATATGAGTGATTATCTCAACTGCAATAGCCCAAAGGCTTAAGTGTGGATAATCTGTGTACACCTTACTATTGAAATTTAATGGTTTGCTAATGTCCTTTCAGTTGGAAAGGATCAAACTACTGCCTATTTGGTCATAGAAGTTCTGATACCATCATGTCAACGACCATTTCCACCATGAATGGTTTTATATCTTAAACATAAGGACAGGGTTATTTAATGGTTTGCTAATGTCCTTTCAGTGGATACTGCGAAATTCAATTGCTTGGTCTACGAAGATGTGGTCATTTGTGCTGCGATGCATGAATTATGTTTAATTCATTTTATTGATGTGGTTCTCAAAATTTAAAGATTTGTATTTCTTGAGTAATTATTGTTTGATTTCCTCAGGTTCCATCACACATTTCTTCAAAAGATGGACATCATGATTGTGAGGTATTGTTTTATCTTTTTCGTGTCTTAGTACTAAAATATATATTGTTCTTTCTCCATGTACATTATGGCATTTATGCCATGTCATATTTGTGGTCCAAGATTCTCAGCAGTCACAGATTAATGGGTGCTAAGACTTTGAGAGCCAAGACTAAGTGTAAAAATGTTATAATGGGTAGTTGAGACTTAAAGTTTTGACTAGCCCTGTCGCTCATTTATTTAGTTTTAGAAAGGGAGAGCTTGTGTTCAAATAAACTTTCATTTCTATATTTATACCCTACATGATTTTATTTATTCTTTGCATGGGCGTGGTGGGTATAATATTGCAACTAGAAGGTCCAAAATCTGCGTTTCAGTTCTCATGATTCAAGAATGTAATTCAAACACCTAGCTTAAGATAAAGACAGGAAAAATAATTTGTAATGGATAGTAATAAACATGTTTAATCAGAGGCTAAACATGAGGGAAGTTGGTAAGATGATTACATTCAAAGGAACTAGAGTCACTAATTTCTTCGATAATTTTGTACAGCAGGCACAGAAATATGATGATCTTTCCTCTTCATCTTCTACAATGATTAGTTTTGAATTATCAAATGGTCGTCTCTATAGTCCCCTTGTCCCAACCGATCTAGATGATGACCAGTATGTGGAATTTCAACTTGATGATTTCACAGCCATTCCATCTAATGCAAAGGAACAACAAAAAGTGAGTCCATATTATAATTGGTTATGCAGAGTTGAAAATTCTGAATGCAAGATGGTATACACTGAGAGTTGTAATTGCTTTTCATGCATTTGTCCATATCCAGATGTTCATGGAAACAGTGATAGATTCATTGGAAATAGGAAATCCAGAGGTAAAACAACCGCATGTAAGCAGTGCTTGTACCATGTCTGTGGAGCCGTCAGAGAAGTATGACTCACATGCTTCTTCACAAGAGATTTCCAAACCTATGGAGACAGAATCTTCTCTACTCAACCGAAGTTTGCATTCCACAGCCTCAACAATATCCACTGCATGTGATGTATGTGAACCCTTGAAAGTTGAGTCAAATTCCAGTTCAATGATTTCAACTCCAGTACCAAGTCTTTCTTCGAAAATAGCACTACCACTACCTCCACCACCACCATTAGACACTTCATCTGTCGCCGGGTCTTGCAATACAGATAGTGCTTCTACTAGTAATGACAATTCTGCTAGCATACAAAGTTCATCAGACACTGACATATCACACAATACAAAAGCCACAGTAACTGTTATTAAGAATCCATCATCAGGCCATGTCTTGAATGGCTTAATGAGGCGTTGGGATTTCAACTTTTTCAGAAACAGACACCATCGATAACATTAGCGAGTCATTGTTTTTGTAACTAAAAAAATTACTAAATAGATTGTAAAATGCTCCACAGAAGAAATAGGTTGTTTGTACTGAAGTTTTGCATGTTTAGATCATCATGCATTCATCTAATATTCTTTCACTGTAAGAGAGAACTGATGTGTTTTTACCCTGTTGAACCAGAATTTCCGGGGTCTCCATTTTTAATTCTTGTTTATGCATGATCCATTGATTTTTCCTTGAAATGTTTTTTCATTCTTCTTATCGAAGACTTTCACGTTCTTTTGTAAAGTTATAATACTTAAAATGTTTTATATTTTTCCATTTCTTTTTATAATACCAGTATAAACACATTATGTGTCCATATATAATTTTGTTACACAGCTAAAACAAAAAGTTATTCACACGTTTACATAATTTTTTTTATCACAAACATCACCACACTTATCACCGTATAAATAGTTACTACGATGTTTTTATATTATTATACTAAAAATAAAATCATAAAGTATTAAGTACATAACATCAATTTTCATTAATCTTGGTGATCTCTAAATCTCACTAAATTTGTACGTTCATTTAATTTGAAAATAATTTTTTTTGTGCAAGGTATTTACAATTTCTATTTGCAAAAAACTGAATTCATATTTCTATTTATGAAACTAAAAAAAAAAACTGAATATTTACAATTTGCACAACTATTTATGACACTAAACAAAACTATCAAACGAAAATCAATAACAAACCCATAAAAGAGAAACAACATTATCAATCAGGAAAATACATTTAGGCATAATAAGAAATATGACATTCCAACAAATTTTTCAATGAAATTTATTTGTCATTATCTTTAGGGAAGATTAAAGAATTAAAATATGTTTGATTGATAAAATTTATTATTAAAAATATTTATATTAATTTTTTATAAATAAAATGTGACATGTTATTTTACCAAAAAAATCTTTACTTTCGAAAGTTTTATTTTAACTCGGGAAGTTAAATTCTCACTTCTCCCATGAAAAAATTGGAAAGGATTTATCATCTTTTTCTAAGAAATATATCATTATTAAAATATTTTTATATTATTGAAACGTAAATTTAAATATTATGATATATTTGATTTTTTATGTATATTTAAAAAAATGTTTTAAAATGTGGTATTTTGAATTTTTAATATTATTAAATTACGATATTATATTTTTAATATTATCTCATGCTATTTCAACCAGCGGTTGTATCAGAATATCTTTGTGGATTCTGTTTACAACGTGTTAGTTATAAATAACTAACGGAAGTAGTAGACAAAGCAACTTAGAAAATAACAAACGCAGACTGAAGATTCAAACTTCATTTCTCATCATCTCTCTTTCCACTCCTTCCTTACTGCGTGATTCATTCCTATGGCTTCCGTTGCTATAAGAAACCTAAATTCTAAGCGTCTTCTTTTCTCTTTGCATTTCACAAATGCTTTACATTCATTCTCTTGTGCCACCATTCCCCAAAGCTACAATGCATCTCCATTGGATTTTGTTTCTTTACGGAGATCCATGGCCACCTTCACTCGAACGTAAGACCTTTCTAAGGACAACATTGTTCTTTTTCTCTTATTTTTATAATTTATATTTGTTACGGACGTTTCCTATTTAATATGATAATACTGTGTGGTGGTTCATCTACGTATATAAGAAAAATATTGGCTTCAGATCGCCTAAATAACCCGTTTGAGCACTTAGTTATATTGCCTTTATTATGTATTCCTCAACCAATCCTTTTGAAGTATGGATATGGAAATATAGACTGCGGATAGAGACATAGATTGATTGTGCAATATAAAAATAGACCTTTGCATGCTATTGTTACGAGGGTTGTTTAAAGTGGCTTTCTTTTTGCAGAAAGCCCCATCTTAACGTGGGCACAATAGGGCATGTTGATCATGGGAAAACTACACTAACTGCTGCAATTACCAAGGTTTGGGTTGAATTTTTTGTCTTCATACTGAAATTGTGAAGAGGAATTCTACCTTCCATTTTCTTTTAGGCATTAAAAAATTTGGTGATTTTGTGGAACATGCAGGTACTATCTGAAGAAGGTAAAGCCAAGGCCATTGCCTTTGAGGAAATAGACAAGGCTCCAGAGGAGAAGAAGAGAGGAATTACTATTGCTACTGTGAGATAAATCACTGTTTTTTTTTTTTTTCAAATTCCATTCTCAAATTATGAATATTGTGAATGATACATAACTAAATGTTCTAGGAACAAAATAGTGTAACCTTCTCTGAGCTTCTTATCATGATCTTGCAGGCTCATGTAGAGTATGAGACAGCGAAGAGGCACTATGCCCATGTTGATTGCCCAGGACATGCAGACTATGTTAAGGTAATCTTAGTTGGAAATGGGAACAGACTCTGTTAATTTATCTCTTTGAACAGGCAGATTATTATTATTTTATTTGTATGGGTCAATTTTCTTGGTGTGAATTATGATCCTTATGTTTTTTTCCTTCTACATGGAATTAACTGAATATGAACTGCACTACTTTGAAGAATGCGTAACTTATTTATGCATTATTGATTATTTGATGTTCTTGCATATGTTCTATATAGTCTGTATGCGCTCCATCTTCAATTAGTTCGTTTGTTAAAATTACAGAACATGATAACTGGGGCTGCACAAATGGATGGTGGAATTCTTGTGGTTTCTGCTCCAGATGGGCCAATGCCTCAAACGAAGGAACATATTCTGCTTGCTCGGCAGGTTGGTAGCTCATTTTGTCAATATGTAAAAGTAAAACTCAGTTTTTATAAAATTTAACTACATTATAAAACCACAAGACCATAACATAACATGGGGTATTTTTCTTGTTTCCTGTACCAGGTTGGTGTGCCATCATTGGTCTGCTTTCTGAATAAGGTTGATGTTGTTGATGATCCAGAGTTGCTTGAACTTGTGGAAATGGAGCTTCGTGGTATGAAATGCTAGCTTATATTTTTATTTGAATGGGAAGAAAATTTAATCTACCAATCTTCACAACGTTTATTTTATATATTCTACCAATTGGACGTGCATTCTTTGATAACCACATTTTTTTCAGAACTACTTAGTTTCTACAAATTTCCTGGGGATGACATTCCAATTGTGCGAGGTTCTGCCCTTTCTGCTTTACAGGGGACAAATGAAGAACTTGGAAAGAAGGCTATCTTAAAACTAATGGACGCTGTGGATGAATACATTGTTGATCCTGTGCGCCAACTTGACAAGCCTTTCTTAATGCCAATAGAAGATGTTTTCTCAATTCAAGTAAGCACAAAGATCATAATTCGTGTGAATCAGAACTATCCTTATTGAAAATACTATTCATAGCACAGGGTTTCTGGACATTGATATCCATATTTACCCCCTATATGAATAGGGACAGGATGAAAAGAAGGGAAAATATAACCACCACAAAAAGTGACAAACAACATATTTCTATCCACTTTTTCAATTTTTTCTTGCAAGAGGCTTCAGCTTTTCAGACAGTGAAAATTGATGCCATGACGAGTAGTCTTTTACTCTATTTTTTTCTAGGAGTTACAATAGTTAAGTTGAAACACTTTCCTTACTATGATAATCAAATAAAATGAACTTTCTTTAACCTCTAACTTGTTCGTTCTGTTAACCTTTTATATTTACTCTACATATGTTGTCAACTGCCTCATATGTTTCTTCCACGTGTTTGGTTTATGCGAAGGGGCGTGGAACTGTTGTGACTGGTCGTGTTGAACAAGGCACCATTAAAGTAGGTGAGGAGGTTGAAGTATTGGGACTAACACAGGTTAGACATGGAAGTCAAATATGTATTATAAGGTCATGTTAAGGGAGTATTTTTCTTTATTGTATATGCATTTGTAATTATCAATCTGTGTACAGAGTGGACCTTTGAAGACTACCGTAACTGGTGTGGAAATGTTCAAGAAAATTTTGGATCGAGGGGAAGTAAGTAAAATAATAGAACCATCCCTCTTTATCCTTCCTTTTATATAAATTTGCATTGATAGATAATAAATATGTTTCCATTTCAAGGCTGGTGATAATGTGGGACTTCTTCTACGTGGTCTGAAGCGCGATGATGTACAGCGAGGAATGGTGAGTGGGACTAATTCAAGGTGTAAAGTAATATTTAACATATGAAATTTATGTTCAGTATTGATTTAAAACTTCACATGACAGTGAAATTCTGGTAAATGTCTCACTCTTGATGTGAAAAGGTGAGTTCTTTTCTTACTGAATTTGTAATTAATAGAATTCAAACATTGCAAATAAGACAAATTCTGGAATAGAAGGAGGTGTCATGAAAAACTGCGACCATTATTTCATTAAGTTTTATGAGGCCATTCATTTTATGAAAATGAACTAATTTATTTTTATTCTGTCTAAACTTTCTATTGGTGAAATTGCAGGTTGTGACCAAGCCCGGTGCTTTGAAAACGTATAAGAAATTTGAAGCAGAGATTTATGTGCTCTCCAAGGATGAAGGTGGCCGTCATACAGCTTTTTTTTCTAACTATAAACCTCAGTTTTACTTGAGGACTGCAGATATTACTGGAAAGGTGGAATTACCTGAAAGTGTTAAGATGGTTATGCCTGGTGATAATGTGGCTGCAACTTTTGAGCTGATGTCACCTGTTCCTCTTGAAATAGGTACTTGATTAGATCATAAAGATGCCGCATTTCTACAGGATCTTCAGTTTTTCATTTTATCTCTTATAATTAATTCTTCGATCATTGTAAATTTATGTTTCCAGCTAAAATTGGAAATTGATTGATCATCAAAAGTACTAACTACAGAATACAGGACCAGCTATTCTAATAGGCGAATTCAACTAATAATCTATATTTTTAAGTAGTCTTTATGTTCTTTTAGTTATATATCCCCTAAAAATTAATGTCTGGCAATTGCTTTTAGATCAATTTGGAAGGTCTTACAACTGTCTTTGTTTCATACTTGCTACTTTTCTTTGTGAGTACAAC